GTATGACCTCACTCGTACGATTTTGTACGATTTGTCTAGACCCCAGTGATGGGTAGGTTTAGGGGCGGGGTTAGGTGTAGGTCATTCGTACAAATTCATACTAATTGTGCAACTCGTAAAATACGTACGATTTAGCAAAAATCATATTAATTTGTACGAGTGAGGTCATACGAGTTCGTACGAATTAGCCACCTCGTAAAATATGCATGAATTGCTGTGAGATCGGGCTGAAAAAAACTGAATTGTGAAATGTGAATTCAAAATTGCAAAAAAATTCCGAATTGTAAGATTTAAAAAATCGTAGGTAATTTAACTTTTCTATTTATTTAATTTAATTAATTATATATATATATTTTTAAATTACATGGCAGAAACTGCCTTCCATATTAATCCAAAGCTGCTCACAAATGAGAAATAGGCTAGAAGAATACCTGATTTATGCAGAGGGAAAGCATATAGCTAGAACATTTTATAAAGTTAAAATTAATAGAGTAAAATATAAAGATGTACTGATTTGATAATGATTTATTGATTTGACAATGCTTTAGTCCTGATCTGATCACCTGACAGGATTTTCACACATTCACAGCTTATACAAAATCACATGTGGGTTTGTGTGGGTTTCATGCTCAAACATTTCGTGCTTCATATGTGATGACATGCACATTTTAAACCCCAAACTTGATACATCACATGTGGTTTAACAGTAACACATTAGAACAAGGTAAAACACAATGTTATTTCCATTTATGATATGGTGTGATATTAATATTGCTATGTCTTCTGTAGCTCCTGTCCTCTGCTGTGGGTTTGGCATCGCACTTGTGCAATTCACATGTCAACAGGGCTGCTCTCCCATTGGCCGACTCCCCGGGCCATGCCCAACGGCCTTATGGGTACAGACCTACAGGAATACTGAGGGTGAGAGTACGTACTAAACAGCTGGCTGTATACATAGTATGCAAGTAAATACTGTACCAAGATTATTATAGTTAACTAAAACTATTTTTTTACTTTAAATTAAATAACTAAACTAAAATCTAAAAAAACTATTGGCAGTCTTATCAAATAATGAGTAAAGATGTAGTAGGCCATCCAAATATCATGCATACAGAAAGTTTACATGCTGCGTGAAGAGTCTACATACTATATACAGCATAACTAGTATGGCAATACTCTATTCCAAACACAGCCTGTGTGAATGTGTGTTTCAGGAGCGGAGTTTTGGTTGTAAGGTTTGTGGGAAGGTGTTTAAGAGGTCGTCGACTCTCTCCACACACCTGCTCATTCACTCTGACACGCGGCCGTTCCCGTGTCCCTACTGCGGAAAGAGATTCCACCAGAAATCTGACATGAAGAAACATACATTTATACACACAGGTAAAATACATAATGGGGTTTCCATTGACTTACATTTTCATTAATAATTCAAATAAATTATAAGGCAATTCCAGAACGCAACATGCTGAAGTCAGAATCTCTGGACCCTTTTCATATTTCTGTGGTTCTCAGAAGGAAATGTCGCCTAATACAAATGTTGTGTTCCCATTTGCTCCTATAGCAAAATAAAAAAAAAACTACAGCATTTCTATGACTTTACAAAAGAGGAAAGAAAATATCAAGACATTGACTATGTTGGTCAGAAGAGAGATTTTGCCCAGTTTTGTCAAATTTGCCTTTGTATTAAAAATACACACACACAGCCACGCTAATTAGATTTAACATTTAACTAATTTAATGGCAGGAGTACAGTAATATAACAAACTGTAGAAACGTGTGCATAAATACAGTGCTATTGGAGGTCCAAATTCAGCACACACCTTATTAAAGACAAGCAGAAGAGCCTAAAATATGAATGCAACACTTAAAGTTTCACATTAAAGGCAGAGTAAGCGATTTCTGGTAGCCAATGTTGATATTTGAAATCACCAAAACAAACAAGAACTTCCCATTTGTTCTCCACCTGCGTATAGCGTTTTTCAAAGCAAAAATATGTTCTGTGTCAATGACTGCTTATATTGCAAATTGGCATGTGTCATATTAATAGAATTCATTGTCTTAATCATAAACACACTACTTTGTAACGCAAATAGTTTTACCATTTACTGCACTGTTATTCTTCTAGTCTTACCTATAGCATTCATAGCCCATTCACAGAAATTAACTAAATTGCAAAATAAGTTGGATACTAGTGTTGCAAAACTGAAAATGCAGGTAGGCCTACTTGCATATGTGCTTAAAGCAGATTAGCTGCCTGTATAGTCAGTAGTAAACAGCCAGGCAGCTCAGTAGTTTTAGGGGCAGAGCTAATGCGTGTGGCCGCTGTCATCTCTCAGGTGAGAAGCCTCATGTGTGCGTGGTGTGCGGTAAAGCGTTCAGTCAGAGCTCCAATCTGATCACTCACAGCAGGAAACACAGCAGCTACCAGCCCTTTAGCTGCTCGCACTGCCCACTCAGCTTCCAGAGGAGACTGGACCTACAGCGCCACCTACAGGCACACTCACAGAACAGCAGCGGACTGTATCATGGGACCTGAGAGAGACCAGCTGCACACAAACACCTTGGGTAGCTCAATGTACAGGGGTCTTATTACATTTTACCCCAAAGTCTACTATATAATGTTTATGAAAGATGTTTGCACCAAAACAAATGTTTGCTTATGTATATCTAACTTGATTGCACACAATGCATTGTGAAATATGTCAACACTTCCAGCAGGCTGCACATTACTGTAGATTTATAGCTTCAAGACTTATCATTGGGTGCTCGTGGTTGTGATGTCATAATCATGGAACATTTCAAAGCAACAATAATCACTCTATGTACATGATATGGCATTTAATAATAAACGCAGTAATGCAACAGATTTATAAGAACATCAATCTCTTTGTGAAAGTACAAGTATCTCTGTATTCTCAAGCTCTCAGCAGAAGTTTATCTTGTTTTAAAGTAGGGTGAAGTCAGCAAAAGTGGGACACTTTTTGGTAAACTGTGATTTAAATACAAATAGATCAATTCTACCAACACAATTTATGCTTTAAACAAATTCTCAAAGTCTCTTGTATCCCCCAGCATGTTTTTCGAAAGAATATCGGTTGTTGTTTTAAACATACAGAGATTCAAAAATGTTAAGTATCCATTGTTTTTTCCCCTTCGGGCTTTTTCAGGTAAATTGGGACACTGTGTCTGGTAAAGTGGGACACACATTTTTCTCTGGTCTGTGCTTACAAAATACAATTTCCTACAGCAGGACATTGTACAAATAATCTTTTGCAATAGAAAATCTTCAGAAATTAAAAGAATAACTTTATAAAAATAGACATTATCGGATTGTGTTATTGATTGTGAAGTCATAAACACTTAATGTTTATTGAATTAAAACACTTAACAGAAGCATACATTTGAAGAATTATTAAAGCAGTCCAACAGAAGTACAAATTTAAACAATTAAAACACTCCAACAGAAGGACAAAAACAAAGAATTGAATCACCTCAACAGAACTACAATGTACTGTGTAGTATAAAAATGACATGATTTCTATGATGTGCCTGCTTGTGTGTTTGTATCTAACTGTGTGCTTAAGTGTGTGTGTAACACATGCGTTTGTATGTGTGTAAAACATGCCTTCATATTTGCGTGTTTATGTTGTGTGTGTGTAACAAATGTGACCCTGGACCACAAAACCAGTAATAACGGTCAATTTTTTGAAACTGAGATTTATACATCATCTGAAAGCTGAATAAATAAGATTTCCATTGATGTATGGTTTGTTAGGACAGGACAATATTTGGCCGAGATACAACTATTTGAAAACCTGGAATCTGAGGGTGCAAAAAAAAATCAAAATATTGAGAAAATCGCCTTTAAAGTTGTCCTAATTAAGTCCTTAGCAATTCATATTACTAAACAAAAATTAAGTTTTAATATATTTAAGGTAGGAAATTTACAAAATATCTTCATGGAGCATGATCTTCACTTAATATCCTAATGATTTTTGGCATAAAAGAAAAATTGATAATTTTGACCCATACAATGTATTTTTGGCTATTGCTACAAATATACCCCAGCGACTTAAGACTGGTTTTGTGGTCCAGGCACTTTTTACGCACAAAAACTTAATATTCACACATTTCTATTCTTATTTCTTTTCTTTTCCTGTCTTCTGCCTACAGTTTGTGACATTTTCTGTAAAACACAACAATTTATCACATTAAGCAATGTATTATCTTTTAATTTATAGGGAGTCCCACTTTAGCTGAATGCTACTGTCCCAATTTATCTAACATGTTCAGGTAAATTGGGACAGTAACAAAACGTAATATTTAAGAAAAAAATAGAATGAAGAAACTTGCATATCATTGCGTAAAATTGAATGATCACATGAATGCATGTAATACAAATGTATATTGTAGATTGAATTACTCTTTGTATTAGAAATTAAACCTTAACAATTTAAATAGACTTAAACTATGTAGCCTACGGGCACTTACCATGTACTTTCTCAGACCTTCCAGCTGACTTCACCCTACATAAGAAAAGATCCTTTCCAACCCTTACCATCAGCATGTCCGGGCTAAATTTCTTTAATACTGACACTTTAAGACATGATTACTACACAGTAAATTAAAAACAATGAAAGGACTGAAAATTAAACAAATTTACGAACATTAAAGGAGCGCAAATCTTATACACAAATCTATAATAGTTTTACATAATTTACGCTGTTACATTTAGCAGCACAACAAAAGCAACAAGTAAAATATGTTAAAAGCACCTCAGAACAGTGGTACACAAATTCAGCCTTAAAGAAAGCATATTTTGTTTGTTTCTGTCACGTTTTGAATTTGATGGTCGTATCCCAGATAGCACACGTACGTCTGCAAGATGTGTGTTAAAGATCACTTGATCTGAAAAGCATCTGCTGTGTACAAACATCTGACAGATGAATGTAAGATGTCAGTTTTACATAAATTCTAAATCATAAACATCTTAAAGACATCTAATAGACGTCTATTTGACATCTTATAGGAAACGTCATAGACGTGCAGATGAGCAAACACTTTTTAAAAATACGTCTTACAGATGTAAATGCAGACGTCAAATAGACGTCTCCATGATGTACGTGTGCTATCAGGGATATCTTTAGTCCACCTCGTGGAAACCGCTGGTTTGCTCCATCAGTGTCGGCGGGTTTCGCTGTCCTGTCGCGTGGTCTCTAATACCGTCTCTCTGGGTCATATCACGCCTCCCTGGCAACCAGGATAATATGTGTTAATAACCAGCTGTCATGAAGAAAAAAAACGCTGTTAAACGAAAGTTTTGCGTGAGGGTCTGCGTGTTTGTACCTGTGTGACTGTAAATGCACCACAGTGCCCCCATCAGACACAAACCCATCACAAACGCAGAGAACACGACCACTAACACTGCACTCTCGTATGTTTCTGAAACACAAACCAGGTAAATAACAGTTTCCACCTTATTTTTAACGTAAGAACGTCCTTATTTTTGTGCAAGCCCTGTACTTTACCTGTACAAAAATGTATGTATGTAAAACTGACATCTTAAAGATATCTGTCAGATGTTTGTGCACAGCAGATGCTTTCCAGATTAAGCGATCTTTAACAGACATCTTGCAATTAGTTTATAGGACGTTTCCTATCAGATGTCAAATAAACATTTAAAAGATGTCTTTAAGATGTTTATGATTTAGAATTAGGGCTGTGCGATTTGGGGGAAAATATCAAATTGCGATTTTTTTGACAGATATTGCGATTGCGATTTGATTTGCGATTTTAAATTTGCAAAGTCAAGCTTCAGCTCAATATTGCCAATAATGTGCA